AATTCGGGTCTTAAATTGGATAACCGGAATTTATCAGCTACTATGTTCAGATAATCGGGACGTAGGATGAAATCGATTGTATATTTCAAACTTCCCTTCTGATTTCTTATTACCCTATCAAAAACATTTGTTTATTTATTTATTATGTATATTTAGACCTGGAGGCTAAACTGAAAGCTTTTATAACATCCTATATCCTTTTTGAGACTGGATTTCAAAATTGTATGTTTCGTGCGAGTTATAAGCGTAAACTATTAAATCTGGTTCCTCTCAACCAGAACTATCATGTGAACTTGGTACGCATGACTGTGGGTTCCTCCGTTGTGTCCGCACAAAGCCACCTGCCGTTCCTCCTATTTGCCTGATCACTTTCTAGAAACTGCCTATTTCTGAATTCGCTGTTCTGCATGGCCGTGCCACGAGATCGACAGGCTTTTCAATTTGGAAAGTGGCGACTTTAAGTTCTCGATAAGTCTGAAATAGAAATAAAAATGTTAAAACTTGGTGCTTGTCACATAACATTATGATATGTCGTTTTCTATTTACAATTCACCCTAAACAAGGCGATAATGCCACTAAGCTGCATGGCAGGGAAAGGGAATGAGAAAACTTTAGAAAAAACCGGCAACCCAATTCTAAACAGGAAACAAGGGGTAAACCTCTACTTCTGTTAAAGAAAAAAGTCTAACCAGCGAACAATCAGGAAGAGACCGATAAAATCGTTGGGACCTATAATGAGGAAAAAGGCTTGAAAGATTTAATAGGAACAGGAGATATGCAGGTGCTAGAGGTAGAGGCATCAAGGAATAACATAAAGAATTTGAGTGAATGGCTGGCAGAACAAAGACAACAAGCACAAAGAGATGTGATAAAGAGATAAGAGTTGCTTAGAGCAAAAAGCGGGAAGTTGTAGAGATTCACGATCGCCATCATTCTGTAAGCAGAGGTCATATAAATGAAGAAGAAAACATTTAATATTCCGATATTTTACAATTATTTATCCCATTTTGAGAAGAACGAACTAAAATGACTCATTTTCTTTATGTTTTGGTGAACCTCTTTTTAAAGAATATTTACGAAAGTGGATTAGTAAGGTTCCGAATTTTCACGGTATAATGTTCTATCATTCTGATTAATAGAGAAACTCTGGCATTAATTTATTGACAAGAATCAGAATATGCTGACAAATAAATATTTATTGCCTAATATAAACGCCTTTTTTATCATTAGACTGCCACTTATTGAAGTACACACGTACACGTGGGTACTGAAAAGTTCTTAGCCCGACCCATTTTCTAAATGATTGAACATCGGTTTGTTTAAGTGCTTCTAGGTTGGTCTGAAAACTGTTCAAAAGAAGTATCTTTGGGTTTTAAAAGTTCTTGCCAGATAAACGATTAAATGACGCCATCAGAATCACGTGATATTCAAGCGCCACATACAGAGTTCATGTGGAATCAAAAATGAAAATCTCTAATACGAATAAATAATTAGAAATATCATTTACTTTGAAAAAATCACAAGAACTCGATGGAAGGTGTGTTGTTTTCACTGAAGCTGATTCACAGGAGATTTGGGGAAACGTCTACTCGGAAAAGTAATTCATGGAATAAAACACTTGAATTCACTGTAAAAATTTGGCAAGCTTACGTAATTTATTTATACAGTTGTTTTTACTTTTAAAAATATTTTGTATACTTAAAAATTTGAACTTTTCCCTCGCCTTATTGCATTTGTCTCGTAGACAAATTGACATTCGGAAATATAGTCACTGTCGTATACAATCATACCGAGAATGAATATCAAGAATAAGTACTAGAGTCATTAACTCGGTTTAAAAAATAAAAGAAATCGTCAGAATGCAATAGGGACCTATTGAAAAAAATAGATTGTTTGTGTAGGTACAAATGATAGTTAAATCTTTTGTACTCACAAACAAAATACTCACAGATATACGCTATACCACCCTTTTTACAGACAGATACACACGCACGTCCGCACGCACACACATACATACTTAAGTGTGTGTGTGAGTAATAAATCCTTCAATTTTCATAACCACGAATAGACGTCTTCACCATTCCAAACATGCTAAGAAATTGGCGTATATTTATACAAAAGCACACGCACAGAATGAACAATCCCTTTGGTGAACAACACTAGCAGAAGCACTTGCACTTTATTTCACGAAAATGGAAAATCGATGACACACAAGATTAATTTAGGAAGATATCGAAACTCTAGGAAAACAAGCTAGTCATAGAGCCGATTAGCATAGACAAATAAAAAACATAACATAGCAAAAAATGAGGATCTTAATTGCATAAAATTAAATACATTGATAAGCCAATAAAAAAGTATTTCAACACAGCATCTATTCTTCCTTTTAAGTAAGCATGCTGTGTTAAGTTAACGCCAGTAGATGAGTATCTATATGCGAGGCTAATAGGAAATGCAGTTTTGATAGATATGTCAATATGGTCATGAATAACATTCGATCTAAGTTACCAAGTGGGAGCAATGGCGATAGGTTAAATTAAATATTTTTAATGAGATATACTGTTGTACTGCAAGTTTAAAAATAAAACGATAAAATGGACATAAATACGAACAAAAAAATAAAAGAATTTATAAGACAAAAGAAGTTAGTTATCAAAGACTGAAAACCTACAAACCATAATTTTATAGTCTCTAAATCCCGGAGCCATTAACGATAAAGCAAATCCTAATGTTTTTAGTTTCATGGCGTCTAGACATGGAATTAACCAGATTCCGTAGAAAATGCAATTGTGACGAAATAATATTTTCCCTATTTATTTGATTTTATTCAATTTGTTCTTTATAAAAAAAATCAATTTGGCGAAAAACGTTTAGTACATTTAAACAGATGAATTTTGGGATTCATTCAATTTTGTCTCTTCTTATAAAATCTCAACAATAATACTTATATATTTTCAATCGCAGTGACATTTGTCAAAAACAGAAAACTTCTACAGATTTTCAGTACGATTAAAACTAAAAAGATAAATAAGATATATTTTTAACAGAATGCTACGTATCTCACGCAATTTCCCATTTTCATTTAACTACTTTGTTATTCAAATAAAATTAAATCACGTTAATATCACATATTTTATACTGTTAGAGTAGAAAAGATACAAAAGATTAAATTGAAAGAGAGGTTAATAATTCTTTTTAATTAAATATTAGGTATTAAAGAATAACTAAAATATTTTCATTTGCGTAGTGTTGGCTACGGATTTCATTAACCGTGTGAAGAAATTTTGTATTTTAATATTTTTTTGTGAAAATAGTACTAAAAACTCAGTATATTTGTAATTAACGGTGTATGTAAATGCATTGTTAATTATTGTGTTTTTGTGTGTGCTTGCACGATCGCGCAACACCGATATGGGGAAGAACGACCTGAAGCTACATTTTGATCGTAGTAAGAGGGCACAAATCCGAGGTAGAATTGCGGTAAATAATTCCCTCTTTTTTACGGGTACAACCAAATTCTACTCACACATTTGTAAGCATAATGTTTAAAAATAGATAGATAGATAGATAGATAGATAGATAGATAGATAGATAGATAGATAGATAGATAGATAGAACATTTTTGCTCTAGGCAATATACAAACGTCGTTTAAAAGCAAAATAACATTAGCATTAAACTTTTCTTACCTATTTCTCTCTCTCTCTTACTCACTGTCTGTATCTCTCTCACACTCTCTCTCACTCTCTCTCTCTCTACATATATATATATATATATATATATATATATATATATTCTCTAATTCCATTTTCTTCTCATAGTATTTACCATAATATTGTTAAATAATTTATATTGTAAGTTGTTTTTTTTATCAGAATGTGCTCATCATTGTTGGCATTAATATCGTCAATAAAATCAAGATTTTTCAACTTAAGTGTCCTTATCGCATTTTCCTTGAAATAGCAAAAGATTATTTTCATAAATTCAAATATGTATGTCTAAAATATCTGCTTCGACCTACCGGCTGCATTTTTTCTTACTTCGGACTTTGCTATCTAGAGCTATTGTGACTTTTAAGTTTATACAAAATAAAAGAATAATTTTCCACGTATTACTACTGCTTCGTTTATTTCCTTCGTCTTTTTATTGCCATATTTATAATTGTTTTGACGAAAAGCACAGAATACGACATATACATTTATTAAAAGCCTAATTGTTTCTTCCTTCTACTTCCGTTCGTTTGAGTGTTTCGAGAAAGTTTTGTATCTATGTAAAGGCGGGGCAACTTCAAGTAGATAATAATCATACTGTGTTAGCATATGGTAATCAAGTCCGTTAAGAAATATTTGTTTGATCGTCACGCACACCGAAGGTTGTCATCTGGATGCTTTCAGTTTATAGCTTTACTTTTTTTTTTCTTTTTTTTAGTTCTTCAAATCTTTTTGCGAATATTTCAGAAATTGTTCTAAGGACTGCAATTATGATCAGCACAACAAGGATTTTCATGTTTCAATTTTTTTCAGTTCTCTAACAAGGACAAGATATTTTTCTAGCTTTTCACTTTCATCAATGAACTGGTTTTCCGGAAGAGCAACATTCACATACTAATAATAGTCATAGTATTAGGAGCTGTAGTTGTATTTATTGTTATTTCTGTAAACAGATATATAAATTATAATAAGTAGATAATAAGATGGATTAGATAGATAGATAGATAGATAGATAGATAGATAGATAGATAGATAGATAGATAGATAGATAGATAGATAGATAGATAGATATTTCAGTGTCTCCTACGCATACACTCCATCTGCTTCTGGTTGAGCAGGGTATAAACAGTTGTTTTATGTGTCACTGCCATGTTGCGCATTTGTGGTGCAATGAGGCCAAACAACAGCAACCTCTACTTCGCTGGGGAAAGAAGTCGATTGTTGATAACCTCGACAGAAGAAACGCAAAACGAACGATGGAACCAAATGATGAAGAAAATAATGGCGCAATACTGTTTTAAAGGCAAAATAAAAAAAAATAATAGATTTTAAAGAAAGAATGAAGAGAAAACTTAAAACATGAAAGATTGACGAAAGGAGAATGTACATACATATGCGTACGAAATATTTTACTGTTTGTTTATTCTGATATAAATATATATATATATATATATATATATATATATATATATTATGTATTTGTGTGTGTGTTTTGTGTGCGTAAGAGGGTGAATCAATAAGTTTGTAGGCTGTCATGTAGATATTAGGTTAATTTTAATCTGAAATTTCCACTATATGTTTCGATCTATTAGATTAATATTCGCTATTGAATTAAGTGAATTGGCAAGGAAGATTATGCTAAAAATAAATATTTGTTATGTAAAATAAATGTTTTTTCCCTCATTAAGCTACAGACTTAGTGATGAACTTAGGCGTGCTTGCGTGATTACAGAGAGGAAAAAGAGAGGAAATTATAGATGAAGGTGAAATGAGAGTCACAAAAAACTGTAAAAACAGGAAACATACCAAAAACAAAGTAATAGGTTAAAAGAAATCGATGCAGAAAAGCAAATAATGTGTAGTGTAAATATTGTCAGATAAAATGCTAAAAGGGAAATCTTTCGAAAATGCATGGTTTGTTAAATGGACAGACTGGAGGGGAGAAATATTATGAATGATATAAATAAATAAAAATAGATCGAATAGAGAAGAAAAGAGAAAATGACAAGAGAAAGAGAAAATGAATTCTAAAGTAAGAAAGTCTTCAAAATATTCATTCATTTGAGCGAAATGTATACTGAAAATGAAATGAACAAATCAAAAGGTCAACGAAAACTGTATGGGGAAAATTATTCGTGTTATTTTCTGGCTATTTAAAATTACACACACACATATATATATATATATATATATATATATATATATATATATATATATGAACTTGAGGTTGAAATTAAAATAATAGAAAATGACAATTACATTACCTGAACACTTGCTAAATGGAGTCAAGTACAGTTTGAAAAAAATTTATTCCATTAAAAGCGTGTAACATTAAATTTGAATGCATTTAATCTCTGATTATTTTATACTTCGTTCATTTGCCAAAATTACGAATTCTTATTTTTAAGTTTCACTATCAGATTTAATATTTCTTCTTAAGTTTAATATTTCTTCTGGAGTTTATTTTCAATTTTATCTTAAAATTTAAATATTCCTTTTGAGGAGCAAAAATATTAAGTCAAATTCTCAAAAAATTTTCAAATTATCATTTTTTATTTCATCTTTGTTTCAAACATTTTCCCCATCGTTGTATTTATTTATTTATTTCTGAATCTCCATCAGTACATATACAAACATACGCACATATATACACACACATACACTTTCACATGCACTTTCTGTCTCTCTCTCTCACACACACACACATATACATACTTATGCATACATTTAAAAAGAAAACTAATTAGCACAAGAGCGTAGTTCAAACTCAATAATAAATTTGAAAATGTTAAAGAAAGAGAAAGAAGGAATAATAAATCTTAGACGAAAATTTAAAACTCAAGAAAATTTTTCTGTCAAATTATCACTTTTAACATTGTTAATCTATTTGCTTTCTACGACGCCCAGTTCAAACATTCTCAGAAAATGTCGGTAAAATTTTGTTTGAGGATGCAAAAGACTGCAAAATCCTCATTTCATAGATCACTTGGCAAATCCTTTTCACATGAATAACCATAACCAGGCATGGTATAATGTCATGTGACAGTTTGGTACTCTATTCTGGAGGGATTCGACTTCTTTCACACCAGAAATGGTCTTATGATCACGAGATGAAGCAAGATAGTCTTATGAGTCACTAAGAATTCTGACGGGTCAGCAGCTGACATGTAAGTCTTTCTCTAAAGATTCTCGATGAGGTTACAACACAATGTGGAATGTCTATTCGTTTCTTTCTGCTAGAAAGACTACTATACATCTTACTACTAAAAATATTGGTTTTACTTTTGAATATCATTTTTTTATGCCATTTTTAAAATACTTATCCAGCAAATAAAAAATCATATAGAATAGGTTTATTTTGAAGGTTTACTTTAAAAGACGAGCTATTTTTAAAATGATAAAATTTCAGTTCAAATATTGGATGTTTTCTGTTAATTCACTCCAAATAATGTAAAGTTACTTATCGCAAATACTAATTCACACTAAGAAATAATAAATTTTAAATAAAAGTCAAATGCAACACACTGTTCAACACCTTATTTTTTAAAAGTATCCAATAATATCACGTAAAAATTTATCGATGTAGGTTCGATTTTTACAACAATAAATGTAACTGTATTTATTCAAATTTTGTAGCAGATAGTAATAATGTAAAGATCTTAAGATATATTGCTATGATAATATTACAATTCAAACTGTAACCATTTTATAGTTTATTTCATTTAAGAGCAGAAATATTACGGAAGCAGTAATATCAATCAAAATAATCTATAGTTGAAATTACTTTTTATCACTCTTCTATCTGCCACTACTTCAACAGCAGGAATGACATCATACAAGATAAACTGTTTTCCCCAGAGAAATATGATTCTCAAAAAGTGAAGGAAAATAACATTCCGAAAACAAATGGAGATTTCTCATTTAAGATTTCTTATCAATAATAAGAATAGTTTACAAGCCATGATTTCACAATAATAATCTGGTTAATCTAATATTTAAATATTCATGTATAATTCGAGATTGTTTACTTAAATTAACAACATAAAGAATATTAAATTTATTTTTGTTGGAGAGATGAACTTATCAAATGGATATGCAGGCAATAAAAACCGAATAATAATCTCATTGTTTATTTCATGATTTAAAAAACTTTATGATTAACCGATATTTTTAATCTTTATTAAAATATTCGAATCCAGTAGGAAATTTACGACTAATGGCTTGCGGTATTAGCATGCTAATCGCTGCACAGCTATGAATTCTACCACCGACAAGATTAATTTCTCATGCAGCTAATCTGGTTAAGTTAAAAAAAAGCCAACAAAATTACCGAACTTTATAAAGTATGCGATAGGTTAATCTACCCGGCACATCGGTGAATTCACGTTTATAGTTTTCGTTGATTATCTTTACATAAGATAAAAAAATATTCCGTTAGAATAGTCAGATGTATTTATCCTTGAGATCTCACTTGGAGAAATCATAAACTTAAAACGTTTAGCTGAAGTTTATGTTGTTTTATGCTTATGTGTACATTCCATAAACATCGTCGAATATCGGTTTACTAGTGAGATATTACGATAATCAACATTCTACTATTTACACTGTTTATTTATACAGATAAAACACTAAAATGTTGCAATTTTTTTCATGAGAGCAATAATCTCCATATATTTGTTGTATCTAATACAGTTTGTGTCTTTGTTTATCATTATCAGAGTTCCTTTCCCTGCTGAGGCTTCAACTTCCTGTACCCCATTATTCTATGCTCGGCCGCTTTCGGCTGCTATTTATCTACCATTTTGTTGAGCAGACCTTCCCTATTTATTTGATTACTTCTATTCCTTTTGATCTTGTACAACTGTTACAGAAATACAGAGAAGAAAGTCTTTTGTCAGATGAAATAGATAAAAACAACCACCATTTAGCTAACGATGGCCTGATTTCATTCGATGTAATGTTTTGAAACTTCCGACATCAGACTTTAATTGCATTAAAACTGTGGACAAGTGTTGCTTGAAATGCTATTTAGCGAATACATCACCACCCTTCCCCTCCCCCTACTATGAAAACGTGTACACAACAGACAAGAAAAGTTCCTGTTTAGATTTTATGAAAGAATTTATGAAGGTATGAAATATATAACGGTTGTAATGATCAGTTTTTAACAGTTTTAATGATCAGTATATCCACATAGACCAAATAAATGTGTTTGTTCTATCTTCGATTCTCTGAAAGAATATATATATATATATATATATATATATATATATATACTTTCGCTACATGGCCAGGAAGAAAGATTGTATTGCGCTAACAAGAAAAGGATTTCTTATTTGGAAGATTGATTGTCCGATCTATTTATTAGATTAATTCAATGGCGATGCAGTCTCTCCCAACAAACCCAGGAATAAACGGTGGTAGGAGAAATCTAAGCTGTTGTATTCCAAAGACATTTACCCGAGTACGTAAAGTCTATTATTTAATATATGAGAGAGAATCAATTAAGAGACAAAAGAAATCGAGAATTATTATCTGGAAAACTATTAAACGAATCGGTCTCTGAGACTAAGAACTGATAGAAGTGCAGTAACATAATCACATGGCAATAATCTAGAAAAACTGCTATATGAGAATGTACTAGAATATTATCGTCCGAAACACTTCGTAAAATATGGCCAAATGACCAAACATCCCAATACTTTCTTAGAAAAATGTTGTACAAAAAGCAAAAATAAATATATGTATTATTGGATGATGGTGTCATAGCTGAGAATACAGAATTGGAAATTTTGATCTAGACAACCGACGATGTCCCGGCAAGCCTTCAGTCGATGAAAATCAAATCGCTAATTAAAAACTTTTGTAATGTCAACGAACACTCGTCTGACATTTTTGTAATGTCAACGAATACTTGTTGTCACGTTCGTAATGCTCGTTGTAGTAGATACAACTATGGTAACGCCATTGAACAATACTGGTGTCAGACGCCTTGGAATATCACTCGCACTAATAGTACTTGCTCGATAATACTCGCTCAAATAGTGATCCGTCTAGTGATCCGAATAGAAAAATAGTATAGTAAATACATTAGATGTAAGCGGTCTGAACAGTAATAGAGGTACGGTGGTGTAATTGATAGCGGCTCGGATTGAGGAATCGGAGAGCCGAGTTCGAATCTATTACATTCACTTACGTGCTAATACCCTTGGGAAAGGTATGAACCCTCTTCTTCTCCCTCAAGCTATGGGTAAATAGCAGGAGAGGCTGGGTTCTATAGCCTTGGATGGCA